AGTGGATGCGATCTACAACCTCTGAATTTGCCTAGTAACGATGAATTCGTTGAGAAAATGGTAATATTTTATGAGAAATAGTCTGTATTTCTCATTTTTTTATTCTTTTGCGTAAAACTAAAATTCATGCCAATATTTTTTCATGATTTATAATAATTGAAGTAATGCAAATGTATATTTTCTAAAAAAAAGTCAGTTTTTAGTGAAATTTTGCCGGGAATGGGGCTTTAATTTTGGAGACGAAATATTTGAGTCTGATCACTCGTCAATAAAAATTGATTATCGTATTGAAGTGCAGTGCAATAACAATTTTAATAATTTTAATGATAGAATATTTTACAATTTTAAAAATTGGAACATAGATGATTTGTGCAATACATTAAATTATGTACCTTGGAATTTGATAAATTTTGATGGAAATATTAATGATGCTGTTGATCTTTTTTATGATTTTTTAATTGCTGCTATTAAGGACGTAGTTCCTAAAGTTAGAAAGAGAAGGAAATTACCGCCATGGTTCGACAAAGAGCTACGTAATGTATTATATGAAAAGGAAGGTGTTATAGAGTTATGAAGAAAAATAGTAATCGTCTGATTTTAGTTTCACTCATTTCGTTCATTTAAGAGTTTATGTAAAAGAAAATATAATAGTTACCTTAAATCACTGGCAGAACAAATTGGTTCAAATAAAAAGAGATTTTGGAGTTGGTTAAAATGTAAACATAAGTCAAGTGAATTTCCTTCAGTTATGTCGCAGGGTAATGTTTCTGTTGAATCTTTTTCTGATAAAGCTACTTTAAATTTAATACTTTTTTTCATTCATTCACGATCCATCTTTGCATGAGATGCAGGAATGCCCAGATATTCCAGACTATGTAATTGACAATATGTCAACAATGGTGATAGATCAGCATTCTGTTGAAATAGCACTTGGCAATATTAATATTTATAAAGCCATTGTCAATGATCAAATCAGTAATACTGTTCTTAAAGCAGCCGCATCTCCACTCTCGTATCCACTTTCCAAAATTTTTCAGCTGTCCATCAACTCTGGAATATTTCCAGCTACTTGGAAATTTGGTAATGTCTTACCTATCCATAAAATTGGCTCGAAAAAGTCAATGGAAAATTACCATCCAGAATCTCTGCTGCCTACTTTATCAAAATTATTTGAACGAATTGTTCATGATGCGGTTTACAATCATTTAAGTTCAGTTATTACTCCGGTTCAGCACGGGTTCATCCCGGGAAGATCATGTCAGACCAACCTTGAATTGCTTCTTTCTACAGCATACAAGGCCTTGAATAGTAAGAAGCAATGTGATGTGGTCTACACTGATTTTTCAAGGGCATTTGACTCGGTCCCCAGGCCCGTAGCTAGTGGGGGTTTTATGGTTCGGGCGAACCCCCCTTTTCTAGCGAACCCCCCTGTTTTCTAGCGAACCCCCTTGAATTTTTGAATGAGTCCCACTCGGACGGAATGTCTGTTTTTAACTTACCCAGCATTAAATCAAAATTTAGCACCTAATTCATTATTTGGTCACCCGTTTTTAAATTGTAGCAAGCGATCCAAGCCTACATTCATAGAATATCTCAGCTTCAGAAGTTCGGAGATTTAAATTGAACGCAACTCCGGCAAACCATGACTTTACGATAGCTCACATAAGGATGGCAAACATCGATAAAAGCTTTCACTGGCCTTTGGCTGAATTTTTGTAAAAAAATGTACCAACCAGTAACAAAACCGGTCTCCGTCTACCTAGAGTAAATGGCAAGTTTTGCGGCTTAATCCACCAAATGCAGCTAAAGTTTTGCGACTTTTTGATTCTGGATTGTGTGGTTAGTAAATTCCATAGCCATACTGTCCATAGACCACACTAAACTATGGAAATTGACTCCTTTTTTCTATCCCAAACAAAATATTATTAATAAATCAACATGGTCCATCTCAGTCATCATAGCGAGTCACAAAATGAGGAAGTTTGTTTTCAACAGCAGTCACACACAACAGAACGGAGTGCGTCAAAAACTAAAAAATACGTACTGGCATATTGTAATACACATTCCCTTGTTGTACAGTATGACATGTTTCATTAACATAACATACACTGAGGATCGCCAACAAATTGTGTGGGTACAGTATTCAAAATTTTACGATATGGTGAACTATTTCAATTAAAATGTTGAAAGTGATTATATAATAAGAATTAGATGAGTCACTGTCAATAAAACAATTCGCGGAAAAGAAGTATTCAAAATATCGGTACTATTAATATGGGACTAATCAGATGACTGACGCCGTTCTCCATCGACAATTGATTTTATGTGCATTATTTATCTACAATTCTTATCTACAGTTAATACACTAAAGAATATTTACACTCACAATTACATCTAAATAGCTGTGGGAAAAACAAATTATCAGCCTGCTGCTCTCTGAATAGTGATCGTAACTGAACAATAATGATGCAGCAACACGCTTGGTCAACTTGTAAAAAATTCAGAGCCTTCTGTTGTTAGCC